TCGTGACCCGAATTGGTCGTGAACAGAAGCGTTCGTGACCCGAGGTACCACTGTACATGTTTGTGTGTGCACATGCACACATGTATGTCTATGTTTCTACACTTCAGTTTTGATCTTGTCCTCATCTGCTCAAACCCTCCTACCTCCATTACAAGCCTTTTTTTCCTGCAGAGGAGAAAATAATGAGTAGGGATGTTAAGCAGGTATATGCATATGGACAAAACAGTTAGGTTTTTCTCTCCCCACCTCTCTTCTATTTTTAATTATAGAATTACAAGGATGCTGCTTTTAACTGTTAAAGGGCATAGTGTCCATTGTCTGTTTTGGCCCCTAAATCCTAATCATCTGAATTAGACAAATGTATTATATATATCCTGTTAAACTAATCTTGAGTGAACAAGATTACTTTAGAAAAGGTTAAGTCAGCCTTAACCACCTTATTTAATTAAGAAGAACCACAAATTATTCACATTAAATGCAGTTTCTACAAATAATTATATTAAACAACTAATAAAAGAAAGAATTCCATTATTTATATTAGTTAGAATATTTATTTTTTGTGCTGGTATCACTTCTTTTTCTTAAAAACTATTTATCCACTTAATTGTTGTGAATTTGTAGGTTATTTTACTTAACTAGAACCACTAAACCATAACTGCATAAAGAGAAGGATACTATCAAGTTGATACGACAACAGCGTTAATGGGCTGTCCATGAGGCAGACGGAACATGTAGTACCAAATTTACAAAATAATGAACTGAGTAAACTGTTCAGAACTATCTTGCTAAAGTGAATTATTCAAACTATAATTATTGTGAATCACATTACCCTATGATTTTACCCTATGATAAGAAGCAGGATAGAAATAGTATTACAGGTAGTCCTCGACTTACAATCACAACTGGGATCGGAATTTCCATCGCTAAGTGATGCAGTTGTAAAGTGCATCTCACGTGACCACATTGCTTAGTGACTGCAATCCCAGCACTCCCCATTGCTGTTGTTAAGTGAATTCCACTGGTCATTAACCAAGGACCCATCCCAATCCAAGCCATTCTGAGCTTAGTGCCTCCTAGCCCCAAGCCTCAGTAAGGTAAGGGACTGCCTCCAACTCCCCCCACTTGCCTATGTCCCCCCCATCTCTGGCCTTTTGGCCACCATGCACCCTGCCCTGCAGGATGGCAAGCAGCCCCAGAACTGCGTGGCTCTGGGACTGCTTGCCACGCTGTGGCTCAGGGGCTACTTGGCACGCCATGGCTTTCAGGCTGCAACAAGCCTCTGGCCCATAGCATAAAGCCCTTCACAATGCAGAACCCAGTCCCAGCCCAGCAGCAGGGTGCAAAGCTGCAGCTGCCCCAGGAAGCTGCAGCCGCCCCAGCCCAGTGCCGGCCACAGTTGCCCTTGCCACTCTGCACACCGAGGCTTCTGCCACCCTGCACTCTGCCACCCCAGCTGACCTTCACTGTCTTCTTGCTCCTGCTGCTGATGAGGCATGCCCAGACTAGCCCTTCACACCAAGAAGCCCCTTTGCTGGACCAGACTGGGGCTGGGCTTTGTACTGCTGGGCCGGGCTGGGGTTTGCACTGCGCTGCGGCTCAGAGGCTGCTTCTTGCAACCCCAGACCTGTGGTGCACCAAGAAGCCCCTTTGCACCAGACTCCTGGGCCAGGCTGGGGCTGGGCTTCGTCTGTGCTGCGGCTCAGGGACTGCTTCTTGCAGCCCCAGAACTGCAGCGCAGCAAGAAGCCCCTTTGCATGGTGCTCCCTGTTCAGGCTGGGGCTAGGCTTCATCTGTGCTGCGGCTCAGGGACTGATTCCTGCAGCCCCAGAGCCTTGGTGCACCAAGAAGCCCCTTTACGCTGTGCTCCTGGGCCGCTCCAGCTGACCTTTGCCGTCTTCTTGCTCCTGCTGCTGCGAAGGGCCAGGCTGGGCATGCTTCGTCAGCAGCAGGAGCAAGAAGATGAAGGTTAGCTGCAGCAGCCCAGGAGCATGGCATGAAGGGACTTCTTGGCGCACCATTGCTCTGGGGCTGCAAGAAGCAGTCCCTGGGCCGCAGCACATTGCGAAGCCCAACCACAGCCTGGCCCAGGGTGGCAGGGTGCCAAAAGGGTATAGATGGGGGGAGATAGGCAGGTGGGGGGAGTTGAAGTGCCCCTGTGGTCATAAGTGCAGGCAGGCTGCCAAGCACCCAACTTTTAATCATGTGACCATGGGGGTGCTGCAACAGCTATAACTTTGGGGATGGTCGTAAGTCCCTTCATTCAGCACTGCCGTAACTTCGGTCACTGAATGAATGGTTGTAACTCAAGGACTACCGGTAACACTTTTGAACTTGGCCATGGATAGCCAAGAAAACAAAGAACAAATCAGCCCACATTTCTCACTTGAGGTACAAATGACCAGATTCAAATTACAATACTCCAAACACATTATGTGAAGACCTAGCTCTCTGGACAAGTCTGTAATGATGGGAAAAGTGGAAGGAAAGAGAAGAAGAGGATGACCAGCAGCAAGGTGGATGGACTCCAATTACATTAGTGAAAGGTGCACCATTATAAGACATGAAGAATCAAGTTGGGGATAGATCTTCCTGGATAAAAATCTACCTATGTGGTTGCTAAGCATCCACACTAACCTGATGGAACATAATAAAACAATCCTCAAACTAAAGTTGCTTTGTGAATTGGAGCTATGCTATATGGTAATACTAACCTATCACTCAACTGTTTGAGCCATTTTATGAGTACAGTAGCTCGCTGGATCCCAAAAGAGGAGAAGCAAACTCCTGTTCAAGGATGTAACTCACATTCTTCCAGTATAGCCTACCAAAACTACAACTCCTCCATAGCCAGTTCTAGGAGAAATATTTATTTTCTTAATCTTAAGTAATAGTACCACTGCTGAATAGGCCCTTGCTTTTGCAAGGTAAGGTGTCATAGTGGGATAAACATAGTATTTGCAGAATTGGAGAAGAACAGGATTCTTCTAGTCCTATTGGATAAGGGGCAGTGATGTCCCCAGAGCAAAGCAAGGAAGGATCTGTTGGCCCTTCGAACTAGTCTAGACAAGAAGCACAACCCAATATTAACACTACCTTTGTTGTAAGGTTACAGTAATAGAATCTTGCAAGTCTGAAAGCACCTTTTGCCTCCTTTATTTTTACTTTCCAGAAAACTAGGGAGGGTCCCTTCTGAGATGCTTCCCATGCCTCTTTTCCTTCTCAGGGCTGAGATACCTTTTGCATGATAGCTGTCTAGTCTGTGGCTCTTCCTCCTGTCTCCCAAGGTCATTCCCACATACCATTACAGGATCAGACTCACACAAGCAGCATTCCAGCATTTGATATAAGCCCTGTCCTTGTCTACATGCATTGTGATATAACATGGGTGTCCCAAAAGAGCAGAGCTTCAGGTCATCATTCTGACAAAAGCAGCAAGATCCTGCAGCTTCTACTGATAAGGGGTCTTTCTGAATTTCTGAAAGTGACTCTGCTTTATCTGACAGAATTGAAACAAGGCTTGCATGAGACAATTCAAATAACTTTATTGAATTACTGCATCTGAAAGCTTGACCAGAATTAGGTTTCTGAAGCTGTGACCTTAAGCAACTTTACTGGGCAGAACCCTTTAAATGAAGAAAACCTGGTTTCCTGCAAACCTTTGCATTCAGGACCAGAATTAAAAGATATAGAAGCCTCATAAGCCAAACTGATACACTTTTTATATGAACCATACCTGTCAAATGCTTCTCTGATCTCAGAGAAACTTTTACTTGGTTAAACACCAAAAATGTACCCAGTTCCATACATCATACTCAAGGCTTCCTGTATCATCACTTCATTCCGTAATTGATTATGTCAGTAGGTTTTGGCAAAGGCTTTATTTATTTCAGGAGTTGATGGAGTCTGAACAATTATTTCCACAATAATCAAACTAGCATTTGGTGTATGTATGTATGTATGTATGTGTATGTATGTATGTGTGTATTTATTTATTTGAGAGTTTTAAAAACAATAATAAGAATACAAACTAAAGGAGAACAGGAAAGGAGAAAGAAAAAGGGAGAGATAAAAGAAAAAGCTAAAAATGCAAAAAAGAAAAAATAAGAGGAAGATAAAAAATAAAAGTAGGAAAAAGAAGATATAAAAAAGTGGCTTTCGATCTTCTTCCCAGCAGTTATAACTACAATTATATTTTAACCTCTCTCTAAGGTTATATCATGACTTTCTTCTTTCTATAGTCTACCCTGTCTAATCACGAAAACCACAAATCACAAGTTCATTTTTTTCTTTTTTATGCAAAAAGTCCATGAGGGGTTTCCAGTCACTGATAAATGTAGATATTGTCTTTTCTCTAATCAGACAAGTCAGTTTAGCCATTGCATTTGGTATTTTCTATTCCACACAAGAAATACATTTTACTCTGAATCACATATACTTAAAGTTTCATTCAAAGAATACAATTTATATTGCACAGTCCATTCTCTCTCATCCCCTCCATCCGTCCATCCCTCCGTCCCTCCCTCTCTCTCCCTCCCTCTCCCTCGCTCTATTCCTATGTATGCGTGTCTATAACTGAAGCATACATATGTAGGTTGAGGCAGTTAAACTTCTGTAAGGGGCATATGATCGCATGCTAACTGCTTGTTTCTAAGCCTGCAAGGAAATGAAGAAGGCTTAATCATGTTGAATGCTTATAGAATTCAACATGTTACATAAATGCAAAAGAAAGAAGCAAAATAAGTGAAACCCTCCTTCAGACTCGGTCATTCAATTCAAGGTCAGGGACTTAGAGGTAGGCATGGTTGTTAGTCAGTGCCTGAACAGAGTTCAATTTGCTACAGTTTTGTCTTATAATTGAAAGTAATGGCATCTAACATGTTTTACAGATATTTTACCTTGTGCCAACCTTTTAAAGGCCATTTCCTTTTCTTCAGCATGAATCCTTCATGTTTGTCTGGCTTGTGAACATTCGTCTGACCAATTTTCAAGCCTTCTATAATTTCCCAGTTGTCTGGCTCCTGAATAAAGGGGGGAGAGGGGGAGGGAACAATATCAAACAGATAAAAATTTCAGTATTGTGGTTCCTATCATTCAAGTTGTTTTGGCAATTCAATGCGCACTTACATAAAGCATAGTCCCAAGACTGTCTTTATTTAGCAAATAAGTAAGAAACTGAATATTACATAAACCACACTAAGAGTTTGAACATTACACTAAGTATATGCTAAGTATTCTGAGGCAATTCTAACTACGTTATTAGGAACCACTGAGGAGATACTAGTTTGGGTGGCATCCCATGTCATTTATAACTAGTCACACCTAAGATCTCCTTAGTTCTGTTTGGGTTTAGCTCTTTTTCAAAAAATGTTTGGAAGAAACATACCTGAAGTTGTAGCAAACAAAGATGCCATCCATTTGCAAATGATGTTTCTAGCATAACAACTGGGTATACCAAGGCACAATAATTGTAGTAGCGATATTATATATTGTAAACATGTTGTTTGATCAGAAGCAAATGACAGGGACTGATTTGAGACATTCACTGAAGAGTAGCAACTACGAAAAATACACTACTATCATGGTTGGTCTCTGAAGCTTTTATATATAGAATAGAGACCTATAAACAACATATCTATGCATTACTGATGTACTGTGGAGCTACATTAATGGATTGTGTTATGCCGAATTCAGCCTTCAGCAAAAGGTTTCTCATTATGTACTTTGCAGAATTTGCATACAAAATTGTTCTCAAAATCTCATACAATAAAAATGAAAATCTCTTAAACAAAGGTGAATCAAGAATTAAAGAGCTGACTATTCAAAAAAGGAGTGATATCTGGTCATATCTTCCTCTCACTATTTAGAATACAAGAATAATTACTGATATAACTTAATTATGCCATGTAAATTTTATAGATTAATTAAGGTAGTCCTCATTTAACAACCATTCGTTTAGTGACCTTTCAAAGTTATGGCGGCACTGAACAAATAGTACAACTGTTGCACATGATCAAAATTTGGGCGCTTAGCAGCCCGCCTGTACTAACAACCACAGAGGCACGTCAACTCCCTGCCCAGTACCACAGTGCAAATTCTAGCCACCCCCGCCATCCTATGCTCCGCACACCCTGCCGCACCCAGCTGACCTTCACTGTCTTCCTCCTGCTGCTGACAAGGTGCACCCAGCCTGGACCTATGCAAGGTAGCTGCTGGCCAGGCCAGGATTACTTCCTGAGGCGGCGTGCGCCATTCTCAAAATCCTGCACACATTCTCCAAATCACACAACTTTCCAAACCATTGCGTAAATGGCACATGCGATCTGGAGAATGGTGGGCGTGGCCTTCTTGCGATGCTTTGGAAGGCCTCAGCAGCTTTCCAAAGGCTTTCCAAAGTATTGCAAGAATGACACACGTGATTTGGGGAATGGCGCATGCGATTTGGGGAATGACACAAGCAGCCTTGGGAAGAAGGCCTGGTGCGGACAGCAGCTGCCTCGCATAAGGCAAGGCCGGATGTGCCTTGACAGCAGCGGGAGGAAGACGGCGAAGGTCAGCTGGGCACAGCAAGGCCTGCGGAATGCAGGGTAGTGGGCAGGGGGAGAGGCTAGGGCTTTGCACTGTGGCGTTGGGGTGGCTGGCCATGGCGCAGGACTTGAGGCAGCACTCCACACCAGCAGCAGTAGAGTCCCAGGGGCAGCTGGCTGAGACTGCTGAAGGCCCCAGGCCTCTACTTCAGCCCCAGCACTGCTGCTGCCATGTGCTGCTGTGCAGGATGGCCAAAAGAGCAGAGATGGGGGGAGATAAGCGGGTGGGGGGAGTGGAAGAGGAGGCAGAGGAGGCAGTCTATTACCTTACCAGGACTCGAGGCTGGAAGGGACCAAGCCGGGAATGGCTTGGATCAGGGTGAGTCCTCACCTAATGACCAGTGAGATTCGGTTAATAACAGCAACGGGGACGGCCAGGATTGCCGTCACTAAGCAATGTGGTCACATGACGTTGCACTTTACGACTGCATCACTTAGCAATGGAAATTCTGGTCCCAATTACCATCGTAACTCAAGGACTATCTGTATGCCTTCTTCTTGTAGTCGCTTAGTTTCATGTAATTTGCTTTTGTTCTTTTGTCAGGAAAAAAATGCATTGATAGCAGTCATTTGTTCTTTCCAGTGCCAGAATGTATGACAACAGATGTACTGCTTTCCCAAGACCATGAATACTGTGTGCTTCATGCTATGCTTGACAGCATTTACAGACACTTTTATTTAATATTTTTCAATTACTGGAATAAGTGTATAGCTTTGAAAGACCCTGTTCCTTAATCCAAAATTTCTTCCTCATAATGTAGATGAGAAACACACATTTTAAGAAGTTGTAGGATATTTTGTCTTTATAATTTTCTCCAAAGATTCACACTTTCATTATTAGGCTGAGCAACTTCTGTTAGACCTCTACAGTTATGAAACCTAGCAGTGATGATTCAAGGTGGGAAAAATGGGCAGGATGAAAAGGATGTTAGATTCCTCAGAATGAATTGGCATAATTAAAACTGACCATTATGATCATCTGTCCAGAAGGCACATGCAAGCTCCATTTCGAACAAAAGTCCTTGAATTACTTGAAAAAGATTTTTTCAAAAAAAAAAAAAATGGAACTATTTAATATTCATGGAATGCAATCCAGAAAATATGTTTTTTCAAGCTCTTTTAATATTTTTTAAAGATGCATGTACTCTTTAGGCATAATCTGAACCACTCTCCTTTACCATTAATGCCAGCATCACTATTTTTGTAGAAATGCAGATTACCTAGAAAAGCCCTCAAAGCAGACTTTAATCCCACCGCCTCAATGCTTTGAGGAGTGGCACTTGGATTACAGCACTGCTGCAATCAAATGATTTGCATAGCCTTATTGAACACATCCAACTATTAAATATGTTCTGCAACCAGCTACTAATGCAGGGACCAAGACTTTACTTACTTTAGATACAGTGACTGGCTCGTTTTCTAACAACTGTTTCCCAATAATCAGATCTGTGCTTCCAGAAGAAGCATTTCGCTCTAATACATGGCCACCCTAAAGCACAAAGAAAAGAATGGAGTAAATGTTTGTCACAGAAAATACCTAGTTCTCATACAAAAGTAAAACTCTTCAGGGTAATTCTTAGAAATATACCATGTTCATACAAAACAGCTATTGTATCATCACCAACCCTTATAATTTCAAAATATTTTAACAGTACACTACAGAAGTGTCTTATGAGATGTTATTGTTACCCAAGCTGATTCAAATGGAAAGGCAAAATATACATAAATTCTAATAAATAAAAATATAGACAAGGTATTTTACAACTTTGAGTACTATGTGTTATTTCATTTAATACCTTAACATTCCACAGCCTTTTTCTTCCAACTTATGGTGCCATAATTAACTTTTTTTTCTCCCTTCCAAAATTAGGACAAGTTGAGAAAAAGTGACTTGTCCACAGCTGTCTTGTCTAAAGTATAACAGGGGATTTAGAGTATATAAATACATACTCTATTTATATACAGTGAACACGTGTGAGATGAGAATCGGTTCATGAGTAGGACTACTATAACTGGGTTGCAGAAACCCAAGCCACCACTAAGAGGGCAGCAAAGATGTAAAGAAAATTCTGATTCTTTCCCACACCTATTGATTGTCTGAATTTTTGCTCCCAGATGTGGTAGCCGTAATTATGATGGCAGATGCCACCCATAGCAAAGCAGGTCCATTAGACTTCATGGGTGAATACTTGTAATTGTATGTGGGAATGACCTTGGGAGACAGGGGGAAGAGATGATGCCTAGGGAACAGATAAGACGGGTGAAGCCAGCAGCTGCATAACAGGCAGAGAAAGAAACTCAGAAAGGATCCTCCCTAACTTATCAGACTGTAAAAGGAGACGGCAGGAGATTTGTACTTTCAGACTTGCAAGATTCTGTTAATGTAGTCTTACAATGAAGTAGAATTAGCTCATCTGGTCATGTTTCCTATCTGGTCTACCTGGGAAGGCTGACACTACCTTATGCAAGAATTTGTTGAAATATCTGAGTGGATTTACTTTATACACTAACTACGTGGGAATTAATTAGATCAAAGTAAGTCAAACTCTTTCTATGCTTGCAAGATAAACATGAGTTTGATCATGCCTTGAGTTGAGCTGAATTAAATCTGTCAAGCACAGAACTATTAAGCAGAATAAATTTATTCTTGATATATATATGTTTGAAAGAACACTGATTTGAATATTTGTCTTGCAATGTTCTTTTTGAAAGAGCTTTCTTTTAAGGGGACTCGCCTGTTACCTATTAAAACATCATTTACAGAAAATGGAGGTTTTAGAAGGGTAGAAAGTTGAGATAATCTTCTCTGAGTGCTTGATATTTGCATGGGGCAAGTCATGTTCAGTTAAAACTTCTTGAAGAAGCGATTACACAAATACACGACAGATTAACCGATTTACTAGAAAGTTGGTGGTGATCTAGGGAAGGGTTGACAGCAATCTACTGGGGATGCTTCAATTTGGATTTTTGCACTGAGCTGAGTTAGGCTCAGTGGACTACATGGGCTCTTTCAGCTGTAGGATTCTAGCAATTACATTGTTGAATCAGCTTCTGCCTGTTGAATGGCACCACTGGGCACAACCCAACTGGCTAATTTATATTTTTGATACAGAAATATTTGTCAATATTCTGATGACACATATATTTATTTCTTCATGCCCTTGCTTTAAGACAACGATGTTATTTCTCTTAATATCTGTCTTCAGGCAGTAATGTGCTGGACAAGGGATAATAAAATGGAAACCATCCAAGCAAATGGAGGTATTCATTGTGATGTAGCATGATCTGGAGGATCTGATTGTTTCTTATGTTCCGGATGGAGTTACATTTCCTCAGGTGTACAGTTTGAGAGTAGTCTTGGATTCCTTAGTCTCATAGTATAGGTTGAAACTATGGACAAGAACACTTTCACCAGCTGTGTAGTACAATGTACAGTACAATGACAGTGAATGACATCAAAACATTGCACCAGTTCATAACTTCCACACCAGATTACAGCAATGTGCTCTACACAGTCAGTTAAAAATGCAGCAGCCAGAATGGAGTCTGAGGCTAACAAAGAGACAATATTATGCCTTTTTCTACAGTCAGTTAAAAATGCAGCAGCCAGAATGGAGTCTGAGGCTAACAAAGAGACAATATTATGCCTTTTTCTACAGTCAGTTAAAAATGCAGCAGCCAGAATGGAGTCTGAGGCTAACAAAGAGACAATATTATGCCTTTTTCTAAGCAGGTGCACTTGTTACTTATAGTTTTCCAGGTGAAATAATAAGTACTGGTTATCAGTAATTTAAAGCCCGAACTGCTTAGGCCCAGCTCACCTGAGAAAACAACTTTTTTTGCATGATACCCACCAATCATTAAAATGATCAAGAGAGGTCTTTGGTTTCAACAACTCATTTGGGCCAGGCTTTCTCAGCCTGTACCCCTGTCTTGGGGAAGTCATCTTATTCCCTCTACGTATCAGGGTTCTATCTTCCTTAAAGGTCTTATAAAAGATCCATCTTTTCAGACTGGCTTTTAATAAGGTTTATTCCCTCTAATATCTAGAGATCTTAAAGAAAGCCTTAAAGATCCATCTTTTCTGATTGGCTTGTAATAATGTTTAGTGGTCTCAAATGTTTTAACACGTATTTTATTTTATTTTATTTTATTTTATTTTAATGTAGTTAAGTGATTTACATTTTACTGTAAATACCCTGAGACATTTAGGAAGAGTAATACTGAAACATCATCATCAACAAAATAGATGCATCATGAAAATATTATCTGAATAGCAAGTGTGACTAATGCTTTGTGGGAGACAGAAATTTTTCTAATTACAGAATTTAAAATGATCAAATGAAGGTTCAAGAAATTAAAAGACTAATTAACAAATGGTGAATGATTATTGGAGTACAATACTATCAATACCAAGTCTTGCATCTTTGTAATGTACTGTAAAGCATTCCTTTCTTAAACTGGAGGTAATTATCAGGGAGTAATTTCGGCATAACCTGGGGGTAATGAAACAATTTGTAATTGCTTGCTTGTGAGTCACGGATCACATTTGGAACTGCCACTGCCAAGACACTTGTGTAAAACAGAAACGGGTTTTTTTTTGGTAGGGGTAATGAAATTATTCAAGACTGGGCAAAGGGGTAATTGAGTCAAACAGTTTAAGAACAACCACCTTAGATCATATCATCTATAACTGTTTTAAACAGTAATACTGTATATAGAATTCATTTATCTTTCAGCTGAAACATATGTTTAGATTTGGAATTAATCATTCATGCCCAATTCCAAATTGCTTCTCTAAGTTCTGGCTCAAGTCACAAAGATATATTCTGTTAAGAATGATATAACCATTTATGATCCCTTCCTTATACAAGCTCACAACCCCCATGGAAGGGTAACTCTGACACAGGAAAATTTCCTCAGAATAGCAATGGGTCCCATGTGGACCTAGAGGCATTCTTAGGAACTATAAATGGCAGGCGCTATGGGACCAATGCTTCACTGACACACGGCTAGCCACTGCCACCAGTATTCCAAAAGAGAAAAAGCAAATTACTGCTCCTACCAGTACTGTTCAATCATAAGGAATCAGGGAATGGCGACAGAGCATCTGAAGGAGGGCTGGAAATAACCCAGTCTTGTCAGAGGCGGAATGCAAAGAACTAATGGTAGGACTGAACGTGATCCAACAGGGTAGGTGGAAGGATCAGAGAGACCAAAGCTTCAGGGATAAGGTCTCAAGACAGCAGTAGGAGGGATTAGGCAGACTATAAAATAATCCATCATGAGTGGGTGTATACTAGAACAACATAGGATAAAGTAGTACCAGAAAACAAAAGATGACTCACAAAGGACTCTGTCAATATTGACAACAGCTACCTTTACAAGAGCATAATTTTATGCACCAACTTTCACTTTTTTCTTTAAAAGGTGAAATAAAGGACACCCCAAATAACTTGCAGGGTTTCTAATCCACAATCAAAAGAACACCTTTTCACTTACCTGCCTAGTGTCCCACTGGGAATATGATGAACAGGAGTCGCTTTTATGTGATGGTGTGGAGGTTTTGTGACCAGGAGATACACCTTTCTCCTCAGAACTCATCACTGCAGCTAAATTCTAGGGATCTCCTTTCACAAATTAATACCACATTCCGTTCAGTTTTCCATGGAAAGAGGGAGCCAAGTGATTTTCAGCATTTCTCCAGGAGTACGTTCTTTACATGGACTGGTCACATTAACATAAACATAAAAGGCATCCAAACCAAACCTTGAAGGAAAAAGGAAAAGAGAAAGTGATGGTACACACATATCCATTGTATTCCTGAGTTAACAAAGACAAGCAAATGTCAAACAAAAGTAGGTCTCTTAGGTTCCATCTATCAAACCTATGAAAAACATTTAATCTCAGGAAACAAATGGTAGTTTCTGTTCTTCAGAATAATTACTTTTTTCAACAGCAGAATTCCTCCCCAAATGATACTGATTATTCTATTCTGATAATTACCCAAGTGACAAGTTACTTTGCAAATGAATTGTTAAAATCTGTTCTCTTTATCCTATCCCAATTCAGCTTTATTTGTTTGGAAATGCACGTATTGTAAATGTATAACAACTGTCATTTACAGAACAGGTCAGAAGCTGAATAGTTATGATAACCACAACATCTTTATTTTCTCCACAAACATGAATATGAACATTCAGGGTTACCAACAAATAGCCATTTGCATTATGTTCTGAGTGGAAAAATAGTCTGAATAGATTTTAAACATTCAATTGTCAGAGATGACACAATTGCCTACTAAATCTGACAAGGCTTCATCTGAGCCTGTCTTTATAATGGATACTATATTTTTTAGTATTAGACGTTAGTGAGAATTCCCAATAGGAATAGTTTAACCAAATGGACAGCTGGTGTTACACAGCAACCTGTACAGACTTAGGCAGATAAGGCAGAAAGAGATAGAAACGGGGAAAGAAAAAAAAGATACAGAGGTGAGTCACAATCACTTTATAGACTTTTATAATGTGTGTTACATTTTTTGTTAATATCACCCTTGGTTAAAATATCCATTTGGTTCTGAGGAAGACTATACGATCAAAGGCTTGAAAGTAGTCAGGGTCAAGAAAGGGAACACATTATCTATGTACCAATGTTTCTCTTCTACCAATTAAAGTAAATGAAGTTGTTTTTACAGGAATTCCAGACATATAAAATGACTTTGTAGCTACCATTCCAGCCATAAAAATCAAAAATGGATCCTTAAAAAGGTCAATCCAGCACCTTGGCTGGAAACATAGTCCAATTCTGAAGCACAGTCAACTCAAAAGAAGATCAGGAGGAAAGCACTATCTGGGCATTCCGTATGGGAATATTTTTATTCTTTATAATCTATCACTATTGGAGATACATAACTTTTGTAACGTCAACTATAATTCAGTAAGTTAGACAAGAACCTCATTGTTTCCTTTAATTTTCCTGAGTGAAGCTACTGATTCCTTTATTCATCCCAAAAGGCACTCTTCTGCTTGTGTTTTGAAGCCAATGGCCTTGTTCACAGTTCACATGCACACATGACTGGGGACAATAATTTCATGCACAATTATTGATGTTCAGTCTGTAAATAAAACCGCTGTTTATAAAGAAGACATGCTCACCTAGTAATAACATGTTTTCCCTCTTAACATTCCATAAATCCCTCAAGACCTGGCTGTGTGATCAGGCCTGAGGTTCCCAGGGGACCGGGGAGATTTTACGATGGC